CCTTTTCTTCAAAAATTCTGTTTTGTGTATGGCCCCTTGCAGATCTGCCGCGCTTCGAAACCGCGCGGGGGTAGCTTCTGTGCCTGAACTGGCTGGCCATGGCGCCCTGTCCCACCCATCGTCTCTACTACACCACCATCGGGATCCCGTGAGAGGCTCGTGTTCAATGGTGAGATGGGATGGCTACTATGCTGAGACTTTGTGACTGCCCCCCCTCCTCGCCTCTGCCCAATGATTCTTCGTCAATGATCCGCTCTGGGACGCACTTCTTGGCTTGTTTGCTCATTCATGGTGTTGAACAAGCACCGACACAATGAGGTAGACCCCGTCTTGGAATGCACAATCGTCTTGGTGTATAATATGGTCTGTGTTCCCCGACCTTCAGCATGTATATCTGCTCTGCATCCCGGCACCAGCCCTACAGTCCTTTCTTCGAACGGTGATTTGTCGTTGAGACAACCTACACTCCCTTTTCCAGCGATTTTTTTTTTACCGCCAAGGCTAGACCTTGTTTGCTTCGACCGACGAGCTCTACAGATTCCTCTGGATTAGAAATCGTAGAGATTACCAGTTTGGCCACCCGGTGTGTTGCAGCTTACTGGCATTTTTTTGTTATTGTAAGTCGGCCCTACCCCGTCTTGTCTCCGGCAGCAAACCGCAGTCTTGGAGAAAATGGTACGCTGCCCATGTTGTCCAAGCCCCAGCTTGTGGTTTGCCATGACCGAAACCAAATCAGCACATTTGACCTTCAGATCCTTAATGCCAAATACTAACCATGCTGGCCTCGGTAGCACACTCCTTGCTCGAATACGCTGATTCTTGACAACTTTCAAGTTTTTCTTTCCTCTTGTCTCGTGGACAATACTCTCATTTCTTGCATAGCAACATTTGAGTCTTTCGTCTGGCGCGTTTTATTTTCCATCGTTCTCCTTCACCTAATTCAAGATGTTGAAGAAGATCGTACTAGCCGGTCTAGTCTCTTTTTCCAGTGCCCACATCAAATTGAGAGCACCTGTTCCATTCGAATTTCCTGACCCTGCGCATTCGCTGGATCCCCTCCTGCCCGATGGCACTGATTTCCCTTGCAAGAACGCCAGATACGACGCTCCGACTCCAGGTAATGAGTTTGCTCAGGGCAGCGAACAGACGCTCAAGTTCATTGGTAGTGTTGTCCATGGTGGTGGTTCGTGTCAAGTGTCTATTACGACTGATCTGAAGCCGAGTAAAAACTCTGTTTGGAAGGTCATCAAGTCCATTGAAGGTGGATGTCCTGCCAAAAATTTATCGACCAACATCTTGCCGCTCAACCCCAACCTTGAAACTCCCTTTGAATATTCTTACACCATCCCAAAGGACCTCGCCGCCGGCAAATATACCCTTGCTTGGACTTGGTTTAATAAAATTGGCAACCGAGAGATGTACATGAACTGTGCTCCGATCAGCGTTACCGGCTCTGGCGGTTCCAAGGATGCCTTGGGAACCTTGCCTGATATGTTCGTCGCCAATACCGGGAATGGCTGTGGAACCTTGGGAAACACAGATTTGAAGTTCCCTAATCCCGGAAAGGATCTTGATCAATTCGGCCAGCAAACCCCAGCTGCTTTGACGGCGGCGACGGGCAACTGCGCTGCCGCCAGTGGTCCGCAGCCGACTGGTGATCCCCAGCCAACGGGTGCTCCTCAACCTACTTCTGCTCCTCAGCCTACGTCTTCTGCAGGCGTTGCCCCTCCCGCCGACCCCAACGGGACGATCCCTGGAGGAGTTTTCATCACCAAGAGCCAAGGACAACAAGCCGGTCAACCTTCTGTGACAAGCCAGCCACAGGCTAGCCAATCTGATGACACATGTGACGAAGAAGTCAGTCAACCTGCTGTCACAAGCCAGGCACAGGCAAGCCAACCTGCCATCACTAGCCAGGTACAGACGAGCCAACCTACTGTCACTAGCCAGGCACAGGCGAGCCAATCTTCTGTCACATGCGAAGAAGAAGCCAGTCAACCTGCTGTCACAAGCCAGGCACAGGCGAGCCAACCTGCTGTTACAACCCAGGCACAGGCTAGCCAACCTGATGTGACAAACCAGGTGCCTGTTCCTACCACTGCCGGCGGCGCTCCTCCCGCGACCAACGGGACTGTTGGCGGTGACGCGGGGGCTTTCGCTGCTGGCACCGCTTGCAGCACTGAAGGGATGTGGAATTGCATCGGCGGAAACTCATTCCAGCGCTGTGGCGGCGGCCAGTGGTCTGCTACCCAGGGGGTGGCAGCCGGAACCAAGTGCTCCCCTGGACAGTCACCGGAACTTAAAATGGATTCCGTGCAGGGAAACAAGCGCAGTTTTCGCCGCCGCATGCGCTCCTTTGCATGAGCCCAGAAAGACCCTGCATGGTTGGAAGAGCTTGTGGTCAAGGACAAAACGGAACGATCGCTATGAGATTTATGAAGATTACCAGGAACCAGTCAAGGTGTGAAGGACTGGTTGCCACCGATTTCATGTATATCATTCTTTCCAGGTTGTAGATTTGTGGCAAGGGCCTTTTGGCTCTCTTAGATGCAGTCGGGCAAGGCAACGCCGTTGGAGTAGAGATTGTATGCGGTTAGAAGTTTGTGAATTCAACAGTCAACACTCAGAGATATCTTCTAGAAATGGATTGAAAAATGTTAAATACGTTCCCTTATACAGTTCTTCGTCGTGAGTGCTGGGTTGATTACCGTAGTCACCTTAATTTGTTGAGGGATTTTGGGCCGAAAAGATGAGAATGAAAGACGGCATCATGCCAATGCGATCTGCGCTATATGCCCTAGCAAATAGTTTATATCTGTAGGCCCCTGTCCTGGAGACGTGCGATGTACTATCCCTCCTTCGCCAGGAATTGATGTGTTGTGATTTGCCCCGGTAAGCGCCCGGCGGTAAACAACGGGGCCGCCGCACCTTGCCGCGTCCCGGCCAGGTCCGCACGCGAGCCCGATCGCTGTCGACCAATAATAGGTGCCCCTGCTCCCCGATTTAGGTTGACTCGGCCGTTGAATGCTAATCAGGGCAGTTGACCCACTAATTACCCTGGCTGATCAGACGTCGGGGGTTGAGCAGGCTTCGAAACATAAACAATCGCAGTTGGGCAACTTATAACTTAGTGTTAGTGCTATATGGAGTATTAGATTTGGGTTGGCTCTCAGATCTGGAACACCCTCGTACTCGGTCGCCACATTGACACTCTGAGGAACTACCAAATGGCACCTGGCTCTTCCCTCGATTACGTGTCCTTATTCTCTTCTATCTAGTTGCCGGGCCTTGTATGAATCCGAATAATCAATATGATTGGCAAATCCCGGGCCAGAAAGACACCAAAGACAAGGCCCGTCAGTGTGAATAGTCTGTCTGGATGAGCCGGTAATATTCACAAGTATCCGTATGCCTTGGTTGAACGCTGCATCTACTAAGTGCTTATTGGAAGCCGGGAGGAAAATGTCATGGCCACAGCCTTGTTGCCCTTTAACCGGATGCGACATGCCATGCTTTAATGGGGGCGTGGCTTGCTTGAAGCAAACACGGCTGGGGTTGAGCCTCAGCTTCGGGGGAGCCGGGTATTTAATTTCCTGCAGTGCTACAAGTGGCTTCGATTCCATGACACGGCGCGGGAATTCTGTACTGACGGGACAGATATGCTGGTGGGCACATGGTCAATGGCCCCGGGTACCACGGAGATGTGCCCTTGTTTCTACTGAGCCCTGGCATCTACGTCCTTTTTATCAAGACTGCGGGGTCCTGATCTAGATATTCTCGTACTTGGACTGATACATGCTGAAAACTATGGCTTTCATCGGTGGAAACGGGCTTGCCGAGTATATCCATCGAATGGAGCGGACGCTCGTATCGGAGAGTTCAAGGGAATATTCCAGATGGCGCCACTAGTTTTACCATTTTTCCTCGACCATGCCAACCGGGCCCCCCATTAACAGTGTTGGCGTTGACAATCCCTCATTGTTATCAAGTTTGAACTAATGACTCTTCGTAAAGAGAACTCTTTAGGCGTGCCGCAGTTCTCAAGTAACGTGAAGCCCCAGGGGGGGACAGGCCTTCAACGCCGCCCGTGATAGCCATCGCTTTAAGCCTATGAGACGCATCCAAGTCGCACATGGTGCCGCAGAGAAGGACGTATTCTTCCCAAGTACACGGGGTAAATGGGGCGTAGAACTCACTGACGGGGGATTAGGCTTACGAGCCCGACAAACATCAGCATACTTTGACTGCTGGGCCACTCAGGCTGTTCGGGGTCAAGCGGGAAACCGGCAGTATTACGGATGGCACTTCTATTTTCAACGATGAACGTGGCACGGCCGACTGGCTTCGAAAAGGGGCGCACCTACGCGAAAGTTCCGGTGATGATTGTGGAACTGCAATTACTCCTACCGAGAGTCGGGAAGGACCAATTCGCTTCCCGTTTATGCGCCGCATGTTTCTTTCGAGTGTGGACTCTGTGCAAACATTGCTTCTGGGAAAGTGGCCGTGGCGTATTCCACGGGTCTTGGGTTTCTTGAAACGAAGGCTTGATAACAAGGGCAATCGTGAAAGGCTGAAGCCATGGGGCACCGCATGCGCGCGAACCCTCCGCCCTCTGTGGCATCCGCCTGCATGCCTTTGCTTTTGTTATTCAATCTGAACCCACTGCTCCAAGATACGCTGATGGCGTCCCCCCAAGTATCTGCGTTGATATTCAACCCCGGTTGTTGACTACCGTTCATTCTCGCAGGCTGCGGCTGTCTCGATAGCCCAGCCACCACGCTTCCCTACGCTTGGATAGCAAACATGTGGTAGATGGCTGGATTTGCCTCGTAAGAAGGCTACTATGATGCAAAAATACTGGAGTTTGGACGTATATATATATATATGTATACTCCAGTTCGAGGAAAAGCTCCCAAGCTTGATGTGACCTTCAGGCCGGACCCCAGCTCACAAAACCTTGACTCCTATTTGCTCCCACATGCCTTTAAAATACCTTGAAAATGTCTGAGCTTCAACTCGATTCAAAGACTTACAACCACCACCCTACGCATGCCGTAGACGAATTCGAGTCGCCGAGTTCCAACCCGGTCGAACACAAGCGCCACGGTATATTCTCTCCTTCTGAGTGGCTTTTAGAGATGCTTAGTACCATTGGAAAACTTGTGTGCCTCGCCGCCATCATCGCCATCTTCTGGAACATGGACAACAAGCCGCTCTCGGCTTGGAACAGCATCGTCTCTCTCAACGCAGCCATATCGATTCTAACAACCGCCCACGGAGCGGCTCTAATGCACGGCGTTGGCAATTTCATTGGCCAAATCAAGTGGCTTCACTTCAAGGAGGGAGTCGATAGGCTCGAGAACCTGCAAAAGTTTGACGAAGCAAGTCGCGGGCCCTGGGGATCCTTCATGTTTCTTGCCACGGTCAAGCCCAACCTGGCTACTCTCGGTGCCTTGATTACAATAGCTCGATTCGCTTTGTCGCCACTGACCCAGCAAGTGGTCAAGATTGAGCAACAATTGGTCCCAAAGGGCGACGCTGTCTTCGGATATGCGCACGAATATAATCGTGGGCTTATACTGGCGAACAATGTTCCAGGTAAACCCATCCCGGGAATAGACAGGACGTGCTCCCGGCTAACATACTCGCACTAGACAGCATCCCACAGGATCCCGGACTACAAGTGGCCGTCTTACGAGGACTGTATAACATTAGCAGTCCAGAGGTGTTCAGCTGCTCGGGGGAATGTAGGTGGGAAGGGCGGTACGTAAGCTTAGGGTTCAAGACTGAATGCACGAATGTCACACAAGCAACACTTGATACTTCCCAATGCGCCAAGGCCTACGATAATCCAAGTCTTACCCTCTGCAACATGACGACGCCCAGCGGCTTGGGCATCTCGACTCGATACGTGGAAACTGATCTTACAACTACCTATTGCATGAATGTTTCCTCAAGATGGGAGTCAGATGACGAATTGCGGACCAGACTTCCTGAAATTGCACGTTTCGCCTTGTATAGGTCTACTAGCGATGGCAACTTCAACGCTTGGGACGTCAATATTACGGATTGCTCTCTGTCACTCGCAGCTTATGAGTACACCAATGCCCGAGCGAACGGCAGCGCATTCTCATTTGAGCAAACCCGAGAGCCTCGAACCTAATCCGAAGAACCCCTGGGATTTCATAACGAATGATGATGGCATGAAATCGCCCGCCCGGGTACAGTTAAACACGTCCAAGGTCCAGGGCACTCCTGCCCTTGCCATATCTTTGAGTGACCTCAGTGCCTTGCAAGTCTACCTCGAGTCGGATTCGATAGCCAGCGAGTGGGTATCAGGAAACTGGGTGAATAAGAAGTCGGGCCTCAGCGCCGCGCTTTCAGGCAATGTGGACGTGGGGAAGCGGTTCGAGATGATGGCTCTCAGCATGACGAGTTATCTGCGCTCTGGGCCAAACTCGATCCCGGCAGCCGGGACGAGCTTCAGCAGCCAGCCCTTTGTTTCCGCGCGGTGGCCGTATTTGATAGGACCCGGCATCATTCAGTCTGCGGCGTTGCTATTTACCATGATGGCCATAGCCGGGAACCGGAAAAGCCGCAATGTGCCGCTGTGGAAGTCGTCTGCGCTTGCCGTTCTCGCTTGTCACTATGATAGCCAGTCTGGCAAAATACAGGCCATTGGTATGACGGTGGACATGAAAGAGATGGAGAATACGGCAGAGAAGAGTCTCGCACAGCTGGAGTAGGGACGGCTTCGCTTTGCGGGCAAGAGATATATATTTGTTTTGGGGGGCGAAATACTCCGTAGAGAGCTTTGGTCGATAGGATATGCGTGGACGAAAACTAATTTTTGGACAATTTATGCTCGCTTTTTGGACAGAAGTTGTCTCCGTCTGTAGACACTCTAGTCTTGGCTGAGAATTTGCTCTCTGTCGGGCTACTCTCGCGCTTCATCATGTTCTATATCAAAGGTCAGAGGAATGCCCTGGTGAAAGACAGAGGTAGGTGGTCATAATTTGGGCAGCTTCTGCTTCACAGAAAGATGACATTGTGCCGCGGATTACATGGGCAAACACCATGAACGTGATGAGATGGGCTTCGTGATGCTACGCCGTGACCCAGACTCGTTTGGTATGCGTCTTCCTGCCCCTTATAACTGTTCTCTGCCGGCAAGAAATCAAGAAATGGTATTTGGCCATGTGCATTAACCTATATGAGATTAGTGCCGCACGTGGCCGAAATTTGCCGGCACCGAGGGACATGTCCGTGCACCGCCACTTCTTTCGTCGCTTAGCTGGCTTCCCGAGCCCCGAGTTTCTGAAGCTCCTCGCCATGGCCTCCACCCCAATAAAAACAACATTTGAAGGTTGTTTCCAAAGGCCAAAGTACTGATCGTGCTGCCCCACTTTTTTTAGGTGAAGCAATGCTCTTACCAGCACTTGCAGCTTTGCTTGACCTAAAAAGAGTGGGGCGTGGCACGGTTACTCCATACTTGTACCAGACATACTAGTGCTTCAGTACCTGGCTGCCGCCGTTTGGCATGGCATGAGCCAGGACAGGGACTTGGTGATCCCTTGCAAGCGCCGCAACGTAAAGAAATTGGTCCACATGCATTTTATCCAGAAACCTCTTCTGGGTCCGCTCGTCCAAGGGTGCTGCTAGTGGAACATTCAAGGGCTCCGTACGACACAGGGGGTATGTGATGTTGCGCAACCATTCCAACGAGTGAGATGTGCTTTGCTGCGGGTGTCGTGGCGAGTGCGACGGTTTGTTGAATTTGTTGTGAGTGCTCGCCTTCTCTGCCCCCTTTGCACCGACTACTTCATCTTCTTCTTGATCCTTTTCGTCTTGTCGGCGGGACAATTCTGTCGCGTCGCTTGGCGTGATTCTCGGAGCTTACCATGATGCCGAGCTCGGACGAGGCTGCGCCTGTGCCAGAAGAACAAGTCAAGGTGTACAATATCCATGTGAGATGGCCTCTTCCATTTCGATCCTTTTACTTCTTCCGCGAGTCTCTCGCCTGGCTCTACCGGGGTTTGCTAAGCTGATGAGTGTAGGTGTCGAGCCGCTATCTCGACTTGACGAGGCAGAAACTAGAACTTGTCCGGCTTCCGCACGATGCTCCTCAAGCCCACGATGATGAATGGTGGGAGCCCAAATCGACGGTTGATCCGCTGGTCGATTACTGGTATGCATTGCCGTTCGACCAGTTATACATGTAGTTATGGATTCTGTCATCTGACGAGGCTGACCACCGTGGCTCCAGGTTGGAGGAGAATTCATGGCGCCAACGAGAAGCCGAGTTCAACGCCAGCATCCCTCAGTTTCGAACCACGATCCGGACATCATCCCCCGATAGCCCTGTCCGCCTACACTTTATTCATTCACGCTCTGCGCACGCCAATGCGGTTCCTCTACTCCTGATACCCCCGTTTCCATTTACAAACCTCTCCCTCAAGCACGCTATCAACGCCTTTACCACTGTCAACGACCCGGCCAGGGATATTCCCTTCCATTTGGTTATTCCATCGCTGCCGGGTCTGGGGTTTAGCGACCCGATTACGAGCAATAAACGCATGATCTCGCTGATTGCCGAAATGCTGGACACGTTAATGCGCCGCATCGGGTATATCCATTATCTCGCAACCAACGCTGCTCCGTCGCCCAATTCCGTTTCTGACATTGACTGGCGAGTCGTTAACCATGTTGCCACATCCTATCCGGACTCTTGCCTTGGCGCTCATTTCGTATCACCGGTGTTTAAACAACCAACATTGCAAAACGCCCCGCTGGAATGGATCAAGTGGAAGGCCGTCATGGTGCTTTCGAAACCTGTGCTGGGATATTCTCAAGATGATATCACTGCTTTCCGACATCAAGACAAGCTGAACCGAGGGCCAGTTGATAATCCCGGACTACGTGTAAACAAAGTCTTCGAGCCGAATACCCTTTCTTATGCGCTGTGCGACTCACCGACGGGGCTGCTATTATTTATCCTCATGGTGTTGCGAATGCTGGGCCCTAAACACCAGCTTTCGAAAAGAGAGATTATTGAGATTGCTGAACTGACGTGGCTGCCCGGACCGGAAGGCACCATTCGGCTCTTAGCACACAGTGTGACGGCTCCGGATGATTTGAAGATGGGACCCAAAAAGCCCACGGTTGGCATCACGGTGTTTGAGGACAATCGGAATCAGATGGATGACCAGGAGTCGGGTGCTATTTTTCCTGTGCCAAGTCCCTATGTCCATACCTGTAGAGGCTGGGGACGGAGTAGCTACAATATTGTTTCGTGGCAACGTGTACCAGGTAGTCCTGGACTGTTGATATGGGAGAGACCAGAAGTGATAGCTGCTGGCGTGAGAAGGTTGGCCGAGGCCATTGTCGCCAAGGACAACAGGCTTCAGAAATCAACAGACCCCAGAGCAGCTCTGCCGGAGCAAGTTGCCGTTGGCGGAGATGATGCAACTCCGGGAGAGATTTCGGGCGCAACATTCCAGACACAGGACATGCCGCACTTTGGTGTGGCGGCAGAGAAGGGGCCGCTTGCAGAGCAGGGGCACTTTGGTCAAGATATCAAGACGAGAAGAAGACCGCATACGCCCATGTTTCCATTGATGGTGGAGCCGAGCCACGACGCGGATCCAGATATTGGCGAGTTCAGCCCGAGTTCAAGTGCGGGAAGTCCCGATACCATTAGGCCGGTGAGGAGAATTGCTTAGTGGCGGGAGGAGACATATTATCATCCATTTAGCAGAAACACATTCATACATGATGCGTAGCATGTTGTGCTCTGCCCGGCAACTTGGCTGGGCTGGTGCTGTGCAGGTTAGAGTGTGAGTGTACTCCGTAAATTCAGACAAGTCGTGGGGGTGGCAGAGAATGACATGGAGTGTGTACATGTGGCTGGTGGCTGGTGGCTGGTGTCAGCTGCTGTCGACTTGGCCCGGCACCTCGATTTGTTCCTATGTGTATGGACTCCAGAGTACTTGCCCAGGTATGATTTTCCAAGACCAAGCCTCCAACTCCAAAAAGTCTACCCGATGGGCCGCAACGTCTTGCCAGGCAGAACATAAGCCGGAGAGATCGCTCGTCTATTGAGCCCAGGAAACTGCCGTCGTCCAGGGCGACGATGCCCACGCAGTTGCTCAACACTCTTTGACCGCCCAACATCAAGAGTCGTCAGCCAGCCATGTCATCGAACCGCTACGCAGGGGGCGTCCCCATGCGCAACGGCAACGGGTACGGAAACTTTGGCAGAGCGCCAGACGCATACGACTCTTATAGCGACGGCCGGCCGAATGACAGAACCGACCGGTATGGCGCGCCGCTGGGAGCAAGGGCGCCGCCGCCAGCTCTTCGCAACATGCCCTCACGGGCTCGCGTCCAGGAGACCAACGCTGAGAGACAGATCGCTCAAGTGCTGGAACATATCAGAAGCGACTGGCCGTCCATGTGTGACAACGACTCCATCCCCGTTCAACTTGCGCTTCAACTGCTCGACTCGAGCTCCGTCGGCCGCGCCCACGAGTATCGCAAGTTCCAGGAGACCCATACGTACCTCCAGGACTCGCTGAAAAACATCGTACACGAGCACCATCAAGGATTCAACAGTTCGATTGGTACGTTTCACAAGATTCAAGGCAGTATTCAAGCGTCACAGAAACGTGTGCGAGAGCTTAGGGAGTCGTTGGCAAGTTCCAAAGCCAGCCTGTGCTCCACCGATCCAGAGCTCAAGAAGCTCTCTCATACCTCAACAGAGTACGATGAACTACTTCAGACATTAAACGAGTTGGACGACTTGCGGGCTGTGCCCGATCAACTAGAAGCTCGGATATCAGAAAAGAGATTCCTGGGTGCTGTGGAGGTATTGCAAAATGCGTTGCGCAAGCTCAGGCGACCAGAATTAGATGGCATTGGTGCATTGAACGATTTGAGGTCGTACCTGGCGAACCAGGAAACCGCGTTAATGGATATTCTTGTAGAGGAGCTGCACGAGCACCTGTATCTGAAATCGCCGTATTGTCAGGACAGATGGCAGAGCCTTGCCAAGGCACAGGGAGCTCATGGCGACGGTTATGGTGATACCAACAATATTCCGCCCTTTCATTCGGTGCTGGATTCTATTGATTTGGAAAAAGCGGTTACCGAGGACCCCACGAAGAACCCCGAGGCCGACACTTTCAACTATATTGGGTTGCTGGTTGAGTCACTGAATAGGCTTGGCCGGTTACAGAACGCTGTGGAAACCCTGAAGCAGCGACTACCGGTTGAATTGTTTGGAGTTGTAAACGAAACCATCAATGAAGTCGATCAGAGACACCCAAGCTCACTCCGCGGTACTGCTGGCAAGACAGACGGGGTCTTTGTTTACAATAGCCGCGAGACGCAGATGCGAGCCGATGTTATATACGACTTGCTGTGGACACTTTACGGCAAGTTTGAAGCCATCGGAGAGGGCCAGCGCGCATTCCACGAGTTCATCAAGGCCCTTATCCGACGCGAAGGAGCTGGGAATAATAGTGCCCTGCTGGGAAGCTTCAAAGAGCTTTGGAACCTATATCAAAATGAGATTCGATCCCTCCTGCACAACTATGTCACCACTGATGCAGACGTTTACCAGTTTGACTCCCCAAATCCGGGAGCCAATTTTAGTGGCAAGAAGGACGCCATGAGGGAACATTTGTTCAAGTTTGCAGAGGCGGATGCCAAGTCTGTTGACATGGTGACGGAATACGATGCGTTG